TCTAGATCTCATCATGTCGGTGCACTCGTCTTCAGTAGCTCTTGATGTCATTTCTCAAATGTAGCAGACCAATGTGTGGACGTGAGTAGCGTGCGGAGGAATGTGTGAACACTGAATCTCAATGTTCTACAAAAGTCATCATTCGTTTCAAAAGTTTGCATAGTAAAGTGTCCTTACTTCACGCATCATAGGGTTATCTTATTTTTAACCGTTTGATTGATTTTCGCCCACAAATATTGACATGAGAAAGTCAAACCTATTGTGTCGCGGAAGTATAATGATGATAGAGTCTCGAGAGTCTTCACTCAAGATTTATTATAAGGTAACCACTTATATTTTTTTTAGAGTTTGATGTACACAATAAATCTTACATATCAATAGTTAAGATCGGGGCATTGTCTTAATGATGCACGGAATATTTAGGGGGGAAACATATGTGTTAACAGCTACAAAGAAGACATTGTGATTTCATAACAACATTTTGTGCTCCTATTCATATTCTCATATTCTTAATATAAACAAATGTCATTACACCGGACCTATTGCTTGTTGTAAAAGATTTTTAAGATCTCGACTCATTTGACCTAAGAGACCTTGATGAAGGTCAAGGCCCTTCATCCACTTACGTTCAAGAACCGATATCAACAACATCGGCCATTTAATCACTGAGAAGAAGCTATTTGAACGTAATAAGAAATTTGACCTCTGTGATTTTGTCATTCACAAAATTGGTAACCCTTCATCCCAGCATGCCACAGACCCAATATAAGCACGCATAGTCTTTTGGTTTGTTAGAAGAAGTTTTTTCTTAATGATTTTGACATGTTTAGCCTATCTGACCTTGAAAAATGGTCAAGGACAATAATCTAAATACACTTGGAAGCTCTTCATCTCAGCATGCGACAAGTCAAATATCAGCACGGTCTTTTGGTAATTGTGGAGAAGTCATTTCTAGAGTTTGACATATTTGACATCTGTGACCTTAAAAGTGGGTCAGGGTCAATAATATGAACAATTTTGTAACCTCCATATCAGCATACTACATGCCCAATATCAACACCTGGGGACTTTTTGTCATTGAGAAGAGGTCGTTTAGATATTTTGACATATTTAATACCTGTAACCTTGAAAGTGGGCCAAGGTCAATAATATGAACACACTTGGTAGCTCTTCATCCTAGCACGATACAGGCCAAATATCAGAATACTGGGCTGTTGGGGAGAAGTCGAAAATGTCAAATGTTTACGACGCACAATGCCGGACGATCGCGAAAGGTCACTTAAGACTTCGCCTCAGGTGACCTAACAAAGCCACGTAGTCCGTCTTCTCTCACGAGATAGTAGTGATGATACACACATTAAAAAAGAGAACAACAATTAATGGTCTAGAATTTTGAGAATAAGATACAGGAAATATAATTGTGATTCTGCTTTTGCTGTGAATAAGCATTATTTTGAATAAGTTATGAAAAAGTACACAATTTAATTAATTCCTACTGTTGACTCGATTATAGAAGTCCTATGTTTGGGAGACGCCGATATAAAGAGTACCTGTTCCTTTTTGATCATTGAACCCTGGTGGTCTTGGTGAAAAGCGAGAAGCCAAGTCATATTTTAATCGGGCGATATTACTTATGGGGGATGTTATTTCATAAACAAATACGTAAAAGCTTGAATAAATAATTGTCTAAAAAAATGAAAAATAGGTTAACAAGGAAAGATTTTTTTTACATATATCACGATTCTTCCTGAAACGACAAACCGCAGACCACAAACCAATCAGTGGTTTTGCGATGTCGATGTTTGGCCCCGATGAGAGCGCTAGAAAGCCTTGTCAGTGATGCTGATGAAACTGTCAGGAACAGGACCTGCTATTGATGTAACCAAATTGAATTTTGAACTGGTGACTTTGTCGTTTTTCATTAGCTGATGTCTAAATGGACGTTTTTTAGCCTCACAGCGGACAAAATATCCGGAAATGGTGCCAGAATACAATTGGAAAATTGTATGCCAGCCCAAAGCGTGGTACCAAGGTCTACGTCTGGTACTGGAGACGGAAAACCGGCGGCGAAAATTGACGGGACCAGTCGAAATTGGTACAACATCGACCTTACCACAACACTGACATATTGCTGTTAAACAGTTTGCGTTTTGAATGATTACTTAAATACTTTGTGTGGTATATTAAGCCAGCGCATAAGACGTCCGTGTATAAGTACGTGTAACTAAAAACGGTCACAAAAACTTCAAGTGATGGTGATTGTTTTTTACCATGAAAAAGAAAAAAATGATAAAACAAGTGTTTTTCAAACCGAAAAAGTATTGTGTTGAGAATTAATTCATACAAGGCCGATTTCATGATATATAATAACACTAAACCACAAACGAGTAGACAAACCACATATCTGATGAATTAAAATTTTGAACATTTCTTGAAAGTATAAGAAACTCACAAATGATAGATTTGTTCATCAAAACAGTTTCGCAATCATGTTATGTGGTTACCATGTGTAAATTTTAAGTGAAAATATGTTTTTCAATGGCGTGAATGTATCTGAGAATAGTTCAGACTATTTGTTCAAGATGAGTTATCGAATTTTAAATCAAACCATAAAATCAGATTTGGTTAGGCCAATCGCAACATCACTTCGTGTACGCTTGATATCATTGTCACTCCCTAATAATATTCAGACAAAATTAGGATGAAATCTACGCAGGAATTAAGAAGGAGTAGCGTTTTAAAACCAAATTTGTCTGGCTTTCCTTTTTTGGGCCCCGACACTAGGTCCTTAGGGGCCAAATCAACTTTCTGAATTTAAGAAATTGCCCATCCCTGAAAATGTTTCAGACAAAATTTGAATGAAATTCACTTAAGCATTACAGAAGAATAGCTATGTGAAGTAAAGTATTGTCCAAAATCTATTTTTGAGTCTACCACCTGACTCCCGAGGCGGTCGAACCAACTTCTGAATTCAAGAAATGATTCCCAAACCCCAATGATGTTTCAGACCAAAATTGGTTAAAATCTAATCCGCAAGAATTAGTAGCGTTTGAAAACAAAACATTCCCTAACTTCCGTTTTCGGGGCCACGTTCCCAGGCCCCTAGGAGTCAAATCAATTTTTTAAGTATACAAAATATTGTCCTCTTCCAATGATGTATCCGACCAAATTTAGTTGAAATCTATCAAGGTATGAAAGGGAGTGGTATTTTAAATGAAATGAATACATTGGGTCAGATGACTAAAAAGTAAAATAACATTCAATTATGTTGCGATTACCGATTCCCTTTATAAATCAGAAAAATGTACCAAGTGATTAACCAATTCGGATAAAAAAACCCGCTGTCGTGATTCATGTTAGGATTCATGTGACTCACATTAGAATCATTTTCAAAAGTAACACCGCTTGTGAGGTAAACAACATTGTTGTATCACGGAACTCGTAAACTGGCGGGTTATTCGAGGAGGTTGATTTGACGTTCTCACATGCTTTGCTCAAGGACGTCCAAACATATGCTTAACTGATGACAGATCAGGCGATTTCGTTGGCTAACCTAATACCTGTACGTTATTTTGATGTAGGATCCTCTGACTTACGCGACTGGTGTAAGCTGGTGCGTTCTTCTTCTGTTTTTAAATCCAACTCCTACTGTAGGAATGATTGGATTTTGCACAAATTTGGTCTGAAGTATTTTCGGGCGAAAGGGAATTAATTTTGTTTAAACAGTTGGTCTCAGCCCCCTCGTGCCGGAGGAAGGGACCTAGTAGGAGGAATACAGCAAACGCTTTAAGATTCTACTCCTCCTGTAAGAATGATTGAGTTTTGGTCTGAAGTATTCTTTGGTGAAGGAGAATAAATTTTGTAAAAAGGTCGGTCGCGACTCCCTTGGATGAGAGAGGCCCAATAGGGGAAACAAAGATTTTAAAAATTCCTATCCTATCCATTGATTTTCCCGAAAATAGGTGTGACGGATCATCGCGTAAATTAAAATAAGTATAAATGTTGGGTGTAAACCCTTGAGATGTGAGGGGTAGGGCCCTTCCGAAGGGAAGTAGTGCAAATTCTTTAAAATTCTTCAGTAGGAATGGATGGATTCTGTCCCTGTTTGGTAGCAAGCATGAAATGTTTGACAGACCCCTAAGGACAGATGGGGTGTGGTGCAATGGGTAACTAGATATAATGTGTGTTGCGTGCTTGAAAATTTATAATTCCATGTCCTTATTTTGATGAAGCTATTTCAGCCAAACAAACCTATAAGAGTGATACAGGCCACATGGACCTCTTGTTATAGTATACCATACAAATCCTCGTCCTTCGGAAACTTTGTTACATGACCTTGTGTATCCGGATAATAGGGATTATCTACCCTATATGTACCAACGGTATTAACAATCTGAAATAACAGATATTTGTCACCAAGGAGAATACTTGTACTTTGGTTTCTATATTTGCCTATATTTGGTTTTACTATTGAGAAACAAGTTTAAGAAACATTCACAGCAGCAGCCGAAGGCGACGGAGGAAGTCAAGCGGACAGATGGGCAGAGGTCCAGATGACGGATGGGGAGAGGGCGGACTGATATAGAGAGGTCCAGCGGACGGATGGGGAGAGGTCCAGCGGACGGATAGGCAGAGGTCCAGCGGACAGATGGGCAGAGGTCCAGCTGACGGATGGGGAGAGGGCGGACTGATATAGAGAGGTCCAGCAGACGGGTGGGGAGAGGTCCAGCGGAGGGATGGGCAGAGGTCCAGCTGACGGATGGAGAGAGGTCTAGCTGACGGATGAGGAGAGGTTCAGCTGACGGATGGGGAGAGGTCTAACTGACGGATGAGGAGAGGTCCAGTTGACGGATGAGGAGAGGTCCAGCTGACGGATGGGGAGAGGTCCAGCTGACTGATGAGGAGAGGGCGGACTATATGGAGATGTCCAGAGGACGGATTAGGAGAGGTCCAGCTAACGGATGAGGAGAGGTCCAGCTAACGGATGAAGAGAGGTCCAGTTAACGGTTGAGGTAAGGTCCAGCTGACTGATTGGAGAGGTCCAGCAGACGGATGAGGAGAGATCCAGTTGGCGGATTGGGAGGCCCAGCTGACGGATGGGCAGAGGTCCAGCTGAAGGATTGGGAGAGGTCCAGCGGATGGATGCGGTGAGGTCCAGCTGACAAATTTGGAGAGGTCCAGCGGACGGATTGGGAGAGGTCCAGTGGAAGGATGGGGAGAGGTCCAACTGGTGGATGGAGAAGCCAAGCTGGTGGATGGGCAGAGGTCCAGCTGACGGATTGGGGAGGTCCAGCGGAAGGATGGGGGAGAGGTCCAGCTGACGGATTGGGAGAGGTCCAGCTGACGGATGAGGATAGGTCCAGCTGACGGATGGAGAGAGGTCTAGCTGACGGATGAGGAGAGGTCCAGTTGACGGATGAGGAGAGGTCCAGCTGACGGATGGGGAGAGATCCATCTGATGGATGAGGAGAGGTCCAGTTGACGGATGAAGAGAGGTCCAGCTGACGGATGAGGAGGGGTCCAGTTAGCGGATTGGGAGGCCCAACTGACGGATGGGCGGAGGTCCAGCTGAAGGATTGGGAGAGGTCCAGCTGAAGGATTGGGAAAGGTCCAGCGGATGGATGGGGTGAGGTCCAGCTGACAAATTTGGAGAGGTCCAGCGGACGGATTGGGAGAGGTCCAGTGGAAGGATGGGGAGAGGTCCAACTGGTGGATGGAGAATCCAAGCTGGTGGAAGGGCAGAGGTCCAGCTGACGGATTGGGGAGGTCCAGCGGAAGGATGGGGGAGAGGTCCAGCTGACGGATTGGGAGAGGTCCAGCTGACGGATGGAGAGAGGTCTAGCTGACGGATGAGGAGAGGTCCAGTTGACGGATGAGGAGAGGTCCAGCTGACGGATGGGGAGAGATCCAGCTGACGGATGGAGAGAGGTCCATCTGATGGATGAGTAGAGGTCCAGTTGACAGATGAAGAGAGGTCCAGCTGACGGATGAGGAGGGGCCCAGCGTACGGATGGGAGAGGTCCAGGTGGCGGATGGGGTGGCTAAGCTGACGGATGAGGAGAGGTCCAGCGGAAGGATGGGGAGAGGTCCAGCTGACGAATTGGGAGAGGTCCAGCGGACGGTTGGGGAGAGGTCCAACTAATGGATGGGGAGAGGTTCAGCTGGCGGATGGGGAGGCCAAGCTTACGGATGAGGAGAGGTCCAGCGGACGGATGGGGAGAGGTCCAGCTAACGGATTGGGAGAGGTCCAGCGGACGGATGAAGAGAGGTCCAGCTGAGGATGAGGAGAGGGTGGACATATATGGCGAGGTCCTGATGACGGATTGGGAGGGGTCCAGCTGACGGATGGAGAGAGGTCCAGTTGACGGATGAAAGGAGGTCCAGCTGACGGATGGGGAGAGGTCTAACTGACGGATGAGGAGAGGGCGGACAAATATGGAGGTCCAGCGGACGGATGGTGAGGTCCAGTTGCAGATTGGGAGAGGTCTAATAGACGGATGGGGAGAGGTCCAGCGGACGGATGAGGAGAGGGCGGATTATATGGAGATGTCCAGAGGACGGATTAGGAGAGGTCCAGCTAACGGATGAGGAGAGGTCCAGCTGACGGATGAAGAGAGGTCCAGTTGACGGTTGAGGTAAGGTCCAGCTGACTGATTGGAGAGGTCCAGCAGACGGATGAGGAGAGATCCAGTTGGCGGATTGAGAGGCCCAGCTGACGGATGGGGAGAGGTCCAACTAATGGATGGGGAGAGGTTCAGCTGGCGGATGGGGAGGCCAAGCTTACGGATGAGGAGAGGTCCAGCGGACGGATGGGGAGAGGTCCAGCTAACTGATTGGGAGAGGTCCAGCGGACGGATGAGGATAGGTCCAGCTGACGGATGAGGAGAGGGTGGACATATATGGCGAGGTCCTGATGACGGATTGGGAGAGGTCCAGCTGACGGATGGAGAGAGGTCCAGTTGACGGATGAAAGGAGGTCCAGTTGACGGATGAAGAGATGTCCAGTTGACGGTTGAGGTAAGGTCCAGCGGACGGATGGGGAGAAGTCAAGCTGACTGATGAGGAGAGGGCGGACAAATATGGAGAGGTCCAGCGGACGGATGGTGAGGTCTAGTTGCAGAATGGGAGAGGTCCAACAGCAGATGGGGAGAGGTCCAGCTGACGGATGGGGAGAGGGCGGACTGATATAGAGAAGTCCAGCAGACGGGTGGGGAGAGGTCCAGCGGACGGATGGGGTAAGGTCCAGCTGACGAATTTGGAGAGGTCCAGCGGACGGATTGGGAGAGTTCCAGCGGAAGGATGGGGAGAAGTCTAACTGGTGGATGGGGAGAGGTCCAGCTGACGGATGAGGAGAGGTCCAGTTGGCGGATGTGGAGGCCCAGCTGACGGATGGTCAGAGGTCTAGCTGACGGATGGGCAGAGGTCTAGCTGACGGATGGGCAGAGGTCCAGCTGACGGATGAGGAGAGGTCCAGTTGGCGGAAGGAGAGCTCCAGCTGACGGATGGGCAGAGGTCCAGCTGACGGATTGGGAGAGGTCCAGCGGATGGATGGGGTGAGGTCCAGCTGACGGATTGGGAGAGGTCCAACTGACGAATTTGGAGAGGTCTAGCGGACGGATGGGGAGAGGTCCAGTATATGATATACTGTAGATAATATATAAAAAAAATCATAACGTATCTGTTGTTAACGTAAATTCAATGTAATGACAAGATTTTTTGCGCCTTTCAATATTTTTTCATTAAAAAGATTCTAAAAAATTGTTGGTATATTTTAACAAAAATTAAATAAAAGACAACTATTACGAAAAGATATGAAAATATGGGCAAACGAATTAAAAAACCAACATATCAAAAGAATGGTATTCCAAACTCAAGTTAATTAAAACTTAAAAATTAAAATATGAACAAAAGAAAGGCTTACATGGAGATGCATGTAAAAGTACAATGAGAATATGACAAAGTCTTCCGGAATTGTAAGCGTCTTCTGCTTCATCGATGACACCCGTCAGGTAAATTGTGGAATATCCAAGTAAGTAATGTCACGCTCCCAAAAAGAGAACAAAGGGAACAGGCATGCTTACAAGCATCATACACGTCGAGTTTGAGGCTGATGTATAAGAGTCTATCTTAAGTTACAATACAGATGGACATAACCAATAAATTTCTTATTTAAATTAGCTATCATAAGTAAATCTAAAAAGTGTAATTGATGGGCTTCGCAAGGCCTCTGTGCTAAAAACTAGTTCGTCAAAAGAGGGGCACAGTTTGTTTCCATAGGTATCCCAATAGTCTGTTGGGAAATCTTACCTTCAAAGTCGACGAATATATCGTTAACCAGAAATTCGATTGTTTTAACAAAATATTTTTGCTTTGATTTGGATGTATTTAACATGAAATGCGCTCCAGTATATTTCACAACCATATCAATTGTATACCGTTTATGTACACTCTCTGAAAATGTCTATTTGATAAAAAAAATGCCTCTTAAACTTCATAATACAGAAGTACTTAAAAAGATACACACACACACAGAGGAAAAACATCTTAAGTCTCCAATACCCATTCACGGGCCGGTATTAAAGTGAATGCTGTTAAATTGATTGTCTCATCTAACCGATACGATCAGCCCCTTGTTATAACTTAAACTGACAAAAGATTATCGTGGATTCTTTTGATCGGCCGTAATATGTCGAGAGATTTCGACAATTTGTGTCTTTGGAATGAAGACATAACCGACTTGTAATGTGGGCAGTGAGTGGAATGCTCTGTCTAATAACGCCACGCGTCCGTCACGCTTATTTGTATCGAGTGGGGATGTAACCTGAATCATAATTGACAGCTGCAGTCAACAGCGCACTGGTATTGAATTTGACAAGATGTGTACTTTCGCTTTACAATGCTTTCACACTGCTTACTCAAGTCAGAGAAATAAGTTGATATGGAACAACAAAGAGTAGAAGGAACAGCTTTTTGTCAACCCTTTCCCGTTTCTAATGGACTGTGAGTAGGACTAAATGGCCATCAGAATTAATGTACACATATTTCATTGACGTATTGCACATCTCCTGTAAATTTCAGATCGGACACACTCTCTGCTATTTATTGGCTGCTGGAGGCATGAAATATTGGATTAAATTCAATGAATAATATTTCAATTAATTTACGGTTTACGCTATAATGAGGGCGGTCACCTCCACAGCAGAACCTGTTGGCATTTCCTTAATGTAATGGAGAGATGAATTTTCTTCCCGCGGAGCTCTCCGAAATGGTTATCCACTTTTGAAAGCACTGCGCTGTTGAATCCAAATCAATTGGATTTTAATACCAAAATATCTTTGATAAATGAAGGCCTAGAAAGCTGGTGAAGGAAAAGCACGATGGAAGCGTCTCTCAACACTTATTGCAGGCAAATCGCGTTACAAACGCTATTTATCTATATAACTGTTAAAGGAACATATAATAGATATTAAATTAAGGTCTCGGAAATAGGGAATTTATTAGGTTGGGATGGATTTCAGTGATGCTGTAAGCCTTCATAGCACCTGAGTCAGTCACCTATCACCTTGTCTGCTTTTGTTTGATGGTATCTCTCCTGATCGAATCATCTCCAATCGGATTAGGGAGACTGAGCATTACCACCGACAAATGTATTCTCTGGTTGCTAACTGCTCCATATGCATTGGCGCGGAAATCTCCTAATCAAGATTTTCTATTTTTCATATCGTTTAGATTTGTTTGTGATTTGGTATCGGATAGGAAAGCTGGACGGGCATATCAGACCCCATAGCCTTATCAGGGCAGGGAGCATCGAAGCGCGTGATAACCCGATCTGTTAATATAGCAACGTAATAATGGAAAAATCTGTCTTAAGGGCTTTTCGTCTATATCAGTTTGACTAATATTCTTAAATCTGTGATTTGTAAAATATCAATTGGACACACAACACACGGCCAAACATATGACAAGGCATACGGTCGAATATTTCCTTCGTGTGGTCATTAGTTCCGGTATATAGATTTGCCTGCCACCAATCTCTTGTATTATACTTTAATGGTGTGATCGCAAGGCTGGTCCTGACAAAGAGCGTTTGCGGCGTATTGGCGAACACAGCATCTTCATGTAGCGGATTAGGTGCAAGAAATTAGTTTTATTAGTGACTTCAGTCTTAACGATTGTCATTCGCCGTGTTTTCCAATTTCTCCCTTCAATGTGCCAGAAAATGGAGAGATATAAACGCAAAATAGTCATTTGTTCTATGAGGGAACAACGTCGTATGCCCGTATCATAAGTCAGACAAATAGAGCAGGATAGACACGTATTCCACTGATGTGGAACGTCCAAACACTCGCTTTCTCAGTATTTATGTAGGCGAAGCCGCAGGAGACAGGCCTAGGTTGGGGGAAGCATCGACTTCAAACGGTCGCCATCAATATTGCTTTTAGATTTTTGAAGCAAAATGGAAAAGGCATGTGTACTTCAGCTGTTTCAAAATTATTAAAAATGAAATAAAATTCTTTCAAATTTGATCATTGATGATGTGAAATAGAACTGTATAAGCTCATTAAAGTACTAGCTACCTTGCTAATCATAAAATAAATCTTCTTAACGTTCCTTTATCGTATCGTTGAAGATAGCAAGTTTTCTGGATTTTCTGGATAGTTGTACGCAACTAAATATGTTTATGTTATAAATCTACACATTTACAAAGACAGGGCAAACGCTTCCACTCAAAACATGTTATGTCAGTTTACAAAATAAAAAACAAGATGGCAGATTGTATGAGATCATGACTGTCTGTCTGTCAGTCTCTCCGCCTGTCCGTCTGTCTGTTTGTCTAAACAATCGTTAATGGACATAATGAACATTATATAGATTTTGACAATTGTTCGAGAACATATCAAAATGACGATATAAAAATCCGTGAAATTTTTAGTGAACTTGTAAAAAGTCGGTACTTTAGATATAATTTACAATTGATCAATTTACATGGCAAAATAATGTACGTTGTACTTCATATAAGACTCAATAACTCACAAAATAATGTAGTTCATTCTACAATCATACAAGAACATGACAAATTGTATTTTTTCAAATCAAACTATACAACTGTTTTCGAAACTCGGCAAAGTAATGAATTCTATAAAGATTTATACAACTGTTCGAGAACATGGATAAATAATGAAAATATAAGTCCACACAACTGTTCGCGAACTAGATAAAATATTGTACTTTATATATTTCTACACAGTTGTTAGTGAACGCAATAAGATAACGTTTTTATATATTTCTACACAACTGTTCGCGAACTAGATAAAATATTGTACTTTATATATTTCTACACAACTGTTCGCGAACTAGATAAAATATTGTACTTTATATATTTCTACACAACTGTTCGCGAACTAGATAAAATATTGTACTTTATATATTTCTACACAACTGTTCGTGAACACAATAACATATTGTATTTTATATATTTCAACACAACTGTTCGCGAACACGATAACATATTGTATTTTATATAAGTTCACACAACTGTTAGTGAACACGATAAAATAATGTTTTTATATATTTCTACACAACTCTTTGTAAACATGACAAAATAATGTACTTTATGTAGATTTAAACAGTTGTTGATAGAATCATTACCTACAAACACGAGTTCAACAAACAGGTCATTTAGTTTGTTATTTATTTATGCACAACTGTGAATTGTGAATTTTGTTTTCTTCTTCTAAATACGATCGGCATAACGTAGATAAAACTTACGAAATTTTGCCCCGTAATATCCCTCTCAAATAACACTATCTGGATGAAACATAGCTTACTGGAAAATATTTGTTTTACGATCTATTCAATCATTTGATTAAGATAAATTTTATTTCTTAGGAAAAATCGTTTTGATGCACCACGTTAATCTGGGTTAAAATATTGCAACATTAAACTGTAAACAATCGAAGTTACAGAAGTGTACATAAACCTTTCCGGAAATGACGTTGAGCGTAATATACATATTCAATTTGTAAGGAACATGATGGTATCCGCCATCCAGGGGCGACCGGATATGCTCATTCACCTTATAATTGATCATTCATTTATCGGCGCTGAATACTGGCAGTTGTCATAAGCAGGGCAAACGTATCACAGATATAAAGTTTCTGTCGTTTGTTATGTATTCATCAATCAACTGACAGCCTTTTAATAAAATACACACACCGATACATCATACTCGATAAAGGAGAGAGATACGGTAAGCCCTTGGCTATTTCTCTTTCATACAATAGCTCAGCGAAGAACATAATTGAAAATTGTCACGGAAAGATTCGAGTTTCAAGGATTAATTATACCATCCATATTGATAGCGATTGTATGGAGGCACATTTTATATTTAATCTTGTTTCTCGATCAACGTACAAACTATTAAAACCTGATTGTCTCGTTATTGTTACCTTTTTTGGGAGTGTTCATCTGGATCATATCCGCGTTTACGCGTAATTAGATGTAAAATACCCGATGACAAGCTTCTTTGATACCTAGATGAAATTATATATGCCACCTAGCGAGATAGAGATAGTCGGGCACGTGCAGGTAAAAATGGTCATAAATTCCTGATGGACCACGCAACTAATTTTGCCTCGGCTTATGAAGAGCAATAAACAGGCGATACTGTGCAAAGGTGAGAGACAATCATTTAATCTCGTTTGTCGTGGATTGTCTCGCGCGCAGTACCTGGAATAAAACCATATGTAAAATATCACCGCCGCCACTGTAATATAGTCACAGCATTATTCCACTCGGTCGTAAAACGTTAGGATAACGGTCTTTGTGACAAAAGCAATGTTTGATATTCTGCAACCTATTGTAAAAACAGATGCGCTTTGGATGCTCCGTTTTCATTCAAGTATGACATTTCAAGATTCGTTGATGCTTGTTGTAAGATGTTGTATTATATTTTTTAAACATTTACTGTAATATTGTGTCGACCGTGGTAATGCCAAATCGAAGCGTGAAAGTTAAAATAACTTAAATAGTTGTCATGTTTCTTTTTTTCTGTATTTGGTATGATATTTAGTTTGATAAAAGTATGAATGTTTCACATTCATTTATATTTACGATGTTACATTTTGACGGTGTAATGTATGGTTTTAAAGAATATGTTTATATCCAGATCAGAGGAGATTAGTGACATAGAAAAGCGTCGGTTTAGACATGAGTACTTTTCAATTAAAGTAATATGTGTATAAAATATTTAGCACTGATAATTTTTAAAGCATAAATGGTTAATCTGTTTATAGCCGATGTTAACAGAAAATAACGAAGTATCGACGATATTAAAATACGGCCATTGTTATCATTCTAACACCATGTTTAAGACGATTAAAGATCCTTTTATAAACAACTACCATTTCCAGCTAATTTAAGATACAACTCAGTAAACCCACCGTAGCACGATATCTGATAATACATACGACACCCTGTGATTGAAATGGTTTGATATTATGCAGCGTTTGATAACCCTAATGATAATTTTTTACTTTATATCATTAAAGTATATTTTTTCATATGTCTTAAGTAAGACAACTTTATCTCCGTATGAAATCAAGATTGACTTATAAGCATGATAACTCCTTTGTAATCCTATTTTTCTAGGAGCTCATGTGCTATTCAGTTTCTCAATATTTGATTCAAAACAATTTTCAGTTCACAATATCTCTTATATTTCAAAACTAAGCTAGCGTGATGCGGTGTTACTGCTACGACACATAAATATAATGACGATAAATTAAAAAGCGTTAACACTATTACAAGAGAATTGTCACAGCTACAGCTAGCGATAATTAGCTGCATGTAGATATGACACTTCATCGTCATATTTATTCTAAACTCACATTATTGGTAATGGTTGAAATAGACACAAATGTTTCCAATTGAAAATGCGAACGGCGAGAGAGAATATTAAAATATATTTTCAATGTGTTGAGTATGGGTTTTACAGGAAATACGTTAATATGGAGAGAAAGGAAGAAAGCTGTAAACACGCGACCTGGTTTTTCATTGCCTCTGCAGCAGGTCAGGTCACGAATGTCTATAGTCAATTTGTTTTCATCAGAATTAACGACCAAATGCAGTTTACTTCCGATATCAATACAATATTAAAACTTGATAAGTACAACGATGTGTCTTTACTGTCAACTGATGGCATGATTACGGATAATTTGTGTAAGAAATTGAATCTGTGTCGTAACAAAACTCTGCGATACCTTCTCATGTCTGCTTCACTGCTTTAGCAGCAGATCAAGTTATGAATGTAAAATGACGTACTCGGTTGGATAATTGCCACATGTTTGTAGGATGGAGAAAGTTCGCATGGGGAACCTGTACAATGTAACATGTAGCATCATTTCTCTCATCTCTTTTATCATCCTCGTTTACATTATCTTTATTATATTTCAATATCAGTTATATTTCGTGTCATCGAGGAATCGTAACGTGACAGGTGAGGAAATCCACCTGTCAGTTTTAAATAGTGAACACTTGGTTTAAAACGTTTGGGTTGAAACACATATCGTGTACTTTGTAGTCTAGAACATGTAGTAAACTATAGCATGCGTAGTGATCGTCTGTATTTTAGTAATGATACAACACTATACATCACATTGAGTGGTAACTGATAACATGTATTGTCACTCACGAGGAGGTGTTTTGCTGTCGTAATAGTAAAGTCCTGGAGGGTTTAGGCAGATAAATACATTAATTGTTTTCTATGTATCTAATTAGAAATTCGCCTTTTAATTCATTCTAATGGTGGCATGATCCAGACACATATACTTGGCGTTCTTCTGATATATGTAAATTAATTACGAATATTATTGAACTATGGGGCTAGTGTGATTACAAATACTTTTTTTCGTTTTAAAATTTAAATCATTCTGTATTTTTTTTTCCATGAAATAATCTTTCTAGGTATACCTAGGTATTATATTATTCGAAAAATTTAAAACTTTTTATGACGTCATTCTATTACGTAAAGTTTATCGTATAGAAACGTTAAAGTCAGTTTCTTTCTTAACGGTAAACTATTTCTTGACTACAGACGTACAGAAATTGAATTAATTACTTTTTAAGCATTACTGTATGTTATTGTTATTTTGTAACATAAATCCTAATAGACCATGTCAGTGACACGTGTTCCTACCAAGTTGTGTTATTGTATATACATATAACTGCCGCAGTCAGATCGTTAAATGAAAAAATTACATTTTCTATACTCTTTGCTACTTATAAGTTGAAGTAAAATATACTGAAAGAGAAAACAAATCCAACAAAAATGAAATAAATCAACAATAAAATAAACTTGAAATAACAAATGTTACAGTATGTTGATATGCTGGCCTTTTTATCGGGTGTGCTTTCGTCCGCCCTGTTTAGAATTATGTCATACTGGTGACAGGTTTACATGGGACGGTATTGGTGTGCTTTGATTTCAATTTAATTAATCTTTTTATCTAATTATACAGACCAAAAGACGATGCTTGTCAATGCCGTCAATTTTGTCTCCATTTCATTAAATGATTATCAGACTTGTTCACTTGAATAACATTTAAATGGAAACATATGTGATGTTGCTTTTAGCTAGATACTAACGGAAACAATACTTTCCAGACTGGTCTAGTTTTAATCCAGGCACGTCCCCTTTTGAACAATGCAATATCTATTCTGAAACACAGCTAAATGTTCTACAATGAAACTCTTTTAAGTAATCAAAATGGTGTAACTTTTTTATCAAATGCGTTTTGTTGACACATTTTGTGAAAGACGTTGTGTTAAGAGACGTAAGATATAAAACAAACAGCTACACTTTTTGTTTTGTGTGTATTTAATGATATAAAGCCATAAACAAAGTGTCAATATAATGTATCATTAGTTCCAATATATAATTTGATGCTGGATTCAAATTAGTGTCCCTGTCTCTCCTGTCAGGAAACAGATAACACTTTAAGGTACATCTTAGGCGGAATACGGAATCAAAGGGAAAATGTCAAAAAAAAAATTAATCTAATTTCACGATTAGTGAGAGAAATTATATCGCCTGTGTGTAACACATACACAAAAAAGGAGTCCGACCAGCGGTTCTCAAAAGATAGCGTCTTCTGTTACAGCAATAAGAAGGTAGCAATAGCACAGAGATACAACAAACAATGCTTCAACTACTTAAAGTACATATATTTTTTTAACAAGTTAGAATAATCAATGAAAAAGGACATATTAAATCATTGAAAAGTAATATTTCTTAATGATTCTCGTTAGTTTATTAGAAATAATCGTCCCTTATTTAATTAAGTCTTAATATACATTCAGAAGTATTCTGGTTTCTTACCCGATACCGTGTAGAAATATAAAGAATCTCTTTTCGGACAAAATGTTTTCATGATTCTCTGTTTGTATTGGACGCACCGACTTACCGCCGAGTCAAGAATTTGATTAGAGAAGTGACGTAACTTTAATTAGAAATTTTGAAGAAAAAAAATAAAGAAATAAATACTTCAATACTTCAAAACATATCAAACTTGTTCACATTTACAATATTTAACAGTTAATTACAAAAATGAAACCCCCGAAAGTTTTCTTGATTGTTTTCTGATCGAAATGGCAGCATATTGAGAGTTGTCGAGAAATCTTGAACTTCACTTTAAGGAAAATAAATTCTCAGTATTCTAATCTCGTATGTATGAAAATTCATTCCATTGTGGCCTCTGTCACTTGCCGATTCAGATTGTGGAACTGGTCCCTGCCAGCATTTGCATTCCATTGTGCTATGTTCCTTTTTGCTTTTTTTTCAGACGTCCCTGTCAAATGCAACAGCTAAATGTTGCATCCTATTCTAGATGGACTATACATAATGATATATTTTTTTCACCCACAGGCGTGTCGCTGGAATCACGACCACAGCGGATTAAATCAAAACAGATACCGGCCTTTTCCTTTTCTTCAATATTCATTCTGCAATAGCCTAATGGAATTAAACTTCAGATACAAATGCCTGATTGAAAAGGCATGGTGACAAAGTGACAGAGGTCGCCGATACAAAGACTCCATCACATGTTGAGGTGACGTAGACGGCTGAAGGAGAGCCGAAGCAGTCACGAATACAATCAGTCTTTTTCTGTGACGGAAATAGGAAAAAGAGATAGCTCTCCGATCGATTAGTTCAGCAACTAATTGTTTCAAGTTCAAAGCCCATTGCTAGTGTTAGATTTCCTGTTGGGAAGGCAGACTATCGATACCTTTAATATATTAATAATCTTACCCAGTAAAAAGTGAGAATACTGAAAACAAAGGGCCCTGTCAGAGATAGCGTGCCATGTATCGGATCGTGTCACGTCTTATATCGACAAAGAATTAACCAAATGGTCTTTCAACACAGTTCATTTTCATAAAGCTTCTATTGTTCGCTTGTCTGGTATCTATCAGTGAAATCAAGTCAGAGATTTAATAGCATGAGGTTGTACCGGACAGAGACTCTGAAAGATTTGTCTGTTTGTCATGTTAAATTGTCAAACGATTCTATCGCACTGATGGTATTAAAAAGTTGTCTGATTTTCTGAGATAAAGGGCCATTTCATTATTGTTTATTTATTGTGTCCATTGGTTTCCTTAATCCATTTCGTTATCGTAACATGATTGCTGTTCGATTGTCTGCATCACGATTCCATTTGAAGATTTTTGAATTGACATTGTTTCTTACTGCTGTTCACGTCTGTTTCAAATGGGGAAATGTTGGCATTTAAATTAATAATTGAATCCGAAGTTATTAATGTTTTTATCCTCACTAAACATTCGATTTATATCACAGAAAAAAGAACGCGGCAGTCGAAGTGTACTGACGAAAATTTTATTTTCAAAACCGAACAGTAATCTTAAGGTCACCGTTTTTTATTAACGGATTCGTCCACATATCAAATGTCATCCTGATTGTCCAAATTACATGGCCGATGTCGTTGATTAAGCAGAGGACACTAACTCTCCCAGAGCACCTGGTCGTATAGTCCTAGTACGTTATTTATTCTTTAGTTCATTTCTTTTTTTGTATGACTTTTTGTAAAATGTGTTTTGCTTATTGTAAGTCTTGTAACTTCTCTGAGACGTCATTTTGTCTCCTCAATTACCCTCGCTTTATTCTCACTTATATTTTCTGGTACATTTATCATAAATCAAGACACGGAACAAAAAGTAAAAAAAAAAAAAAAAACCTGCTTATGTTGGAATCATTACAAAAGTCTTATAAAACAAATAGGGATGTTGTGCAGTTTGGTAATTTGAGCCACAAAGCGTCCAAAGGGCACGCTAACACAACATGTTTGACTATTTATTAAGTTTTAGGCAACAACCCATGTTTTACTTTTTAAAAGTGTGTGAGAACTTGAAACATCATGTGTTAAACGCACTACTATCTAATCGCCCAACATCTAGGTATCACTCGAGTTTTCTTCCTCTTCCAGAATCACTTCTGGGTATCTTCTGGAAGGGAAACGGTTATAACTGAGACACCATTTTAGGGTCATTGTACGTAGATTTTTGATCGGCTGATAAAAAGCACATTGAATTACGTAAATGTTGTGTTTTTGAACACCTGTCATCTGTTTATTAAATCGACTTTGTTTACCTTGAATTTCATCTATGCGAAATATATGATTTGTTCTTTACTTCTGTTTAAGTTTGCACGAATCCTTTTTTCTTTCTCAATCTATTTTATCTTACGTATCAACTTTTATTGGAAATATACCACTGTTGAGGATATTTCAATGCATGTATGTATATATATTCAATGTTGCTGTGGTCGACGTAGAAAAGAGAATATAACATAGACTCGTTCTCATTATAGACCCTGATCAGCAACTTTCGATATCTATATATTTACAGTTGATTCTATATCCAATGGTGTCTGTCCAATATGCTGATTTCAGCGCAAGATATCCGCAACTGACAGACCCATAGGTTGATGAAGATTATATGGAAGTTTTACGACCATCATAATGCTCTAACTGGAAATTTGTCTATTTCCTTGTACG